CTTTTAGTCCATGGATTGTGAGCATCTTCCTCTGAGCACTCCCTAAAGAATGGCGGCTCATAGTCTGGAGGCTGCAATTTTCAGAATAATTTACTGGCACTGTTCTAGACTAAAACAAGTTAATCGTGAGGTGAAACTTTTTACTATGGAAATCCTTAGGATCATAGAGTTACTCAGATCCAGAAGTACTAAACACTACATAAGAAGAGTCTTCTAACAGCAGGCATACCGTGATATCATCATAGTAGAGGAGTTTCATCAGTATGGTGCGCTGCAAACAAAAACACAACTACAAGTTAGTCACTGAATTGATCAACCTGCAGACATTTTGTGATCAATGCTACCAACTACCTAGAACAACTTACCTCTTCAGGCATCTTGTCAAGAGTTCTCATCAACTGAACAAGAGTGCGCACCATTTTACAAGCCGAACTCCTCATCTGGTTAGGAGTGCATTCCGTCACAGAGTTACACTTGAAGCTTCCTCCCTTTTTCTTGTTTCCAATGCGGTTGATGTTCATGGAGACCTCTTGACTATCAGAATCAGAGTAACTGAAGGAAACTGCAACACGACGAGAACCATTAGAATCACTCCCTTAAGACACTTACAAACACCGAGAGATGCAAAAGATAAAAGCCATAAGCTAGACTTCACTCAGAATCACAATCACCTCCATGGAGAGTTACTTACATGAGTACTCCTCTATCATCGGTCCGTCTATTGCCTCGCATACACAGAACAAAAGCATCTTGAGGTATTTCTTCTGTAATGCATCGTAGACACCTGAGTAGAAGAGTGTAAACAAGAGCGAAGTTAGGTTAAGCGAAACCAGTTGAACAAGAAAAGTTCATCAGTACCTTTCTCCATCCAGTCAATCAGTCGACGAGATTCAGCATCCATAGGCATCAACTTCTTGATCTTCATCTCTGTTCAAGGAGCCGTAGTTTACAAACAAGATCACCGACTGTTTCTTTTTCTTTTCCAAATTTTATTCAGAAAATTGATTTCAAACTGAGATTCTAGTTACCTAAAGCAGGAACGTTCTTATCGGTGAAATACTTCTCTGGAAACAAGCCTCTGATATAGCTGATATTGAAAATCGCTATCCTCATCAGATTTCTCGTCTGTTACAGAAATTAAAATTCAAATAAACACACAGCGATTCTAACGAAGAAGCTAGAGAATAGAAGAACTAAGGTTTAACAGTTGTTCAGAAACAATCGCAACGGAAGTTTAAGGTAGCATCCATACAGAAGAAATCGCACAATTACTGAAGGAATCCGAGCAAGTATACCGCTAGCGCATACTCGATATATGAAACGAATTCCAGAAGATCGAAGGAACTAAAAACAGAAATAGAGCTTTCACTGCGAGCTAAAGAAAATTCTCGCAACCGAAGCATGAAGGCAAGGCGCCATTATCTCAATAGAAACCAACTTAAGCGAGAGAATACAGAAAGAATCCAAGCAAAAACAAAGAGACAAGTGCGCACTTCCAGTAAACGAAGTACTGGTTCGATTACTAGCTAGAAATGCCAAAAACACAAAGAAACCGCAAGCAAACAGAGCATCTGAGTAGCACAGAAGAATATGAGATCTGTACTCTAAACAAGCTCGCAATGCAGGGTTCAAGACTCTCTACTCCATATTGTAAATGATTTAGATAGACGAGGAAGAAGAACGGAAGCAGTGAAGGGAACAGAATGTGGATACCAGCAGAAGCGAATCCTGCTCGGTGATTTCCGCCTCCTTCACCTTATGCGCGACAGCCTGAAACAACAATTATTGAACGAACCGAGGTCAGCTCGAGAGCCAATTCAGACGAAGAACTAGCACAAAATCAAACGGACTGAGATTTCTCTGAGCCAACTACCATGGCGTTGAGATCTGAGGAAGGAGAGGTTTTCGACGACGACAACAGAAATTGAGAGTGTTCGAGAGAGAGGATATTTGAATTTTGAAATGAATACAAATAGTGAGTGAAAATGGCGATGTTTGGGAGGATCCCTGGTTTATAAAGGCGGTTGCCTAGCGAGAGTAGAGTGAGTGTCTGAGTTTGTTAGTTCCAGCACCGCGCCCAGGCTTATGGAAGCTTGGACGACACGCTGCAAAATGCGGGGAATTGAGGAGGGAAACCGAAACCCCACGCGAAACGGCAAGGAGCTAAGGACCGATTTCGTCGGGGAAATGGATGCGTCACCATCCACGTTAGATAACAGCGTTTTACTCCATCGTGTGGGGCCCGCACGAATGTATTTGCTGTTTGGGCCTAATGGGCCTCGTCCATTTCTACAGACGGAGGAGCGACTATATTATGCTTACGGTGGGGTTTGACCATTTTTATTTCCTATGTTTTCCTTTTTCGGATAGAGATATATTTCAGTTCATCCAAACAAGTTTTCTTTAACAAGAGAAATATACTACAACAGAAGTAGAAGACTGTAAATTATCAAATCACGAATTCATGCTTGACTCGGTTTCATCAAATTTCAAATAAATAATAAACAGTTGGTTTCTTTTATCATAATAAAGTATATTTATTTAGCTGAATATTACTTGCCTGAATTACTAGTTACTTTCTTTAAGTATAGTTTTATTCAATACACTGGTGAAACAAATTGTTCAATCCACTTCTATATTTTACGAATGCCTTCAGGTTTTTAGGGGTTTAGGGGTTAATTGCATGGTTGGTCATTGAGAATGCAAAAAAGTTCAAGTTTGGTCATTCGGAATATTTAAATTCATTGGTGGTACTTTAATTTACTGAAACCGTTCACGTTTGGTCACTCTCCGTCCAACTCCGTTAAATTTTTCTTACGTGGCAGTCAACTCTAAAAGTTGACCGTTAAATGTGTGACGTGTAGGGATGGCAATGGGTAGGGTCAGGTGCGGGTTTACCCTATACCAACTCCTAACCCGCTGGGTAGAGCTTTCTAAAATACTCGATCAAATAACCACCGGGTATGAAAATTATATAACCATACCCTACCCACCGGGTAACCATGGGTATTCGGGTAACCATGGGTACGAATCCTAAACTATGAACTTATACACATATATGTACATACATACTCTTGTCCATTAAAAATTCTCAAAACTTGTAACTGTTCTAGCTTCAACAATCCACACAAATAAAAATAGCAAACGCATAATAATTGTTCTTGCTTCTACAATCCCCACAAACATAATATTCGTCTACATCTTCATCATCAATAATGGTAGCTAAACTCAATTTCTCAAGCTAAAATAAATTTCTCAAGGGAAACTGATCCATTGGCTAGCGGGGCGGGTATAACGGGGCGGGTATTATCGATTACCATAACCGTACCCTACCCTTTATTTTGAAACCGGGTATTAGCCGTACCCGCCCCTTAACCCGTCAAAGCGGGTAATTACCCTCGTTGACCGGTTACGGTCGGGTAGGGTACCCATGGTTACGGGTTGGATTGACATCCCTAGTGTGGCAATTTAAAAATAATAAAATTAATTTTTTTTAAATTTCCAGCTCCTTCTCTACTTAATTTCCAGCTCTTCTTTCCTCCATAGGGCGGAGGTTTTCTGTGTGCCAGGCGAAATCGTAGGGTTTTGGGAGAGTGAAGGGAAGGGGTAAATGAATTGCAAGCTGGAAACTGAGTTTCGATAGTGGTTGCTATCATTTCCGCTCAGATAAACTGAGTTTCGATAGTGTTCGAGACGTTCGCCAAGAACGACGACGGGTTCATCACTAAGCAGGAGCTGAAGGAGTCGCTGTTGATACCCAAATCGACGAATTCCCCACACAACGTCTCTCCGACAATTCGATCACCATCCCCTCGCCAGAGATTCCGTCTTCCGATTTCGGCGACAAGAACCGCAAGAAGCTTGGGTTGGGGCTGGGAATTGCCAGTCCGTCCTTCTGCGCGTGCCTCGTCAATTTCGAGTTCATCTCGGTCAAGAAATGGCAGAGGACAAAGGGGAGTAACACTAAGGGTAAAACATAGCTGGTGGTGGTGGCGGGGAGGCCGAAGGAATTAAATTTCAGAGAGCTGAAATCGGCGACGAGAGGGTTCCATGGAAGTAGAATCATCGGGAAGGGAGCTTTTGGAAACGTCTACAAGGCCTTCTTTGTCTCTACGAGAACAATCGCCGCCGTGAAGAGGTCCAAACACGCTCACAAGGAAGGGAAAACAGAGTTCCCTCTCCTAAATCTCCGCACGATGGAGGAAAGGAGAGTTGTAAATAAAGCAGAGAGAGTGATTCGATGTTCATCCATTTTTTGTTTTATTTTTAATAGTTAGGAATGAGACGAAAATTTTAAAAAATTATTTTTTATTAAATTTATTACTTTTAAATTGCCACGTCACACATTTAACGGTCAACTTTTAGAGTTGACTGCCACATAAACAAAAGTTAACGGAATTGGACGGAGAGTGACCAAACGTGAACGGTTTCAATAAATTGAAGTACCACCAATAGAATTAAATATTTCGAGTGACCAAACTTGAACGTTTTTTGCATTCTCAATGACCAACCATGCAATTAACCCGGTTTTGAGCCTTTTGTATTCCAAATTGCATGATTGTATGCATTTGAATAAAAAATATTAAATTCTATAAAAAAATGATACTACAAATAACAAAAGCTCGCAATTACACACCCAACCGAACGATGTACAGTGAAAATGTTATTTCTTTTACAGGAAACAAAACCCCCTTCTTTCCAAGAGAGCTGTAGGCAACCTGCTAGAATCTGAGAATCACACTGGCTAAAGGAAATCACAAGGCAGCACAAAACATCCACAGCTGATCAACTGACCAATGCATTAACCTCTATTGCACAGCAAGCTTGTTATTAGTATCATCTGTTTTCTAGTTCTTGCAAAAGGCTCTGTATGAAAACATTACATCTACAAACGAACGACAGGTCTTCCACAGATTGGAAGCAGACACTTTCTCTGTTCCTCATTCGCTTTCGTCGAGAGCTATTGACGAAAACGGAAAGTTGAGTTTTTACCACAAATCGTTGTCCAATATGTGAAAGAAGCCAAAAAGGAAAGTAATACAAGGGCTGTTGTCCATTGTACAATCTGGAAAAAATCTCCTTTGTTCCCAGTTCCCACCACTAGAAATACAACAGAGCTTTAAGTACACGAATGGGAGTGTTTTTTTTACCTTTCGAGAGGATCTCCAAATGAGGTTAGAGAAGGGAAAGTAGCAGCAGCAACTTTTTGTCGGAGATTGTATTTCCCGGCTATCACAGGCCTAACATCTTCGGTGCGTGCTAAGGTTTCGAGAAATGGAAGTAGCAGGAGCAGTTCCTGATCATCACGGTTGTCAAACCAACTCTCTATGGGAATGCCATTGTCTACTTGGAATCCAAAGGCCTGCAAAGACATCAAACCTCGTGAGTTGGGAATCAGATCAGGATTCTGGTTACGCAAAATCTAAAAGAAAGTATTTGTGAAACCAAAGCAATTTACTTTCTGGTTAACTGAAACCAAAACCTCGTACTTTGGTTTTAGTTCTGGCTAGCTGAGATTTCAAACAAACTTATCGTGAATTTACTAGGACATATCATCTTTGATGGAATTTACTGCAAGTTAATATTTCACCAGTACGTCTTTTAAGCTTCCAAAACCCAAAAAAAAAATCTAAATTAAACTACCAAAACCAATATCCAAATCAAATAAGTCAGTTTCAGTTGCTCGAAACCGTGGAATTTGGTTTTGGTTTAACTATAAACAATTTTCCCTCCCTTAGTTGGAGTGTCCAGACATAAAACAATTCAAACCCGCTTCAATTGTTGCACCCTATTTGAGATGATCTCATCAAAACTACATAAGCATAAATGTTATCTCGTCAAGATTGATGAGTTGCCAATTCATTCAAGATTCAAGATATAAAATGATCAATTCCACCAACCAAGAACTGAGTACAGTTGGACCTGAACTTTCTATAACTCAACATGGAAGTATAATAGGCATAGCGTGCAGTACCAAAGAGTGAATTATGTAACAGTAGAAGTACCTGCGGGGAGTTATCAACTATGATAACATGAGCCAAATCACGGCCAAGGATTGTCAAATCTTTGACGTAGTTCCCCTCCACAAAAACACAAGATTCTCGGTAGACACGGTGGCGAAACACTTTCCTTTTTGGATCTAGAACATTCAGAAGCTGCTCTGCATAAATACTCTGGCTAGCCGTAAATATGATTATCTCAAACAAAGTAGAAACTCTGTCCATGAAATCTCTAAGATGAGGGCGACACCGAACGTAAACCATATGATCCTCTTGATTAACGTGCACGGGAAATGTGAAGTCAGCATCGTCACATGGTTCTAGAGTGGAGTGCACCAAAGTTTCTGTCAGAAAGAAAGCTTTTATCAGTTACTAACGTCATTAATCAGTTATCTAAGGGTGGCAAGCAGGTTGGATACAAATTTGTTCATTGTGAATATATGAAATTCCAAAGCACAGAAGATGCAAAATATCAAGACACTAAATAGTAATTCTATAGAAAGCCATCAAGCCAACCTATTTACCCATGAACGCAATGGGTTTTAAGTGGCTGCGAAGGGTTGAAAAGGTATAAAGCATGAAAGGATGAGCTACTGAGATCCTCACCATCCAGGTCCAAGACGAGAGTGGTTGGCGGGCAACTTCGAGTCTGCTTGGGCAACAAAGCACGTCTGAAAGTGGGGACCACTGAGGATAATTCAGGCAAGTTCTTAATGAAGAAATACGGGTCAAAATCCTCAAACTCTTCATACTCATCCTCTTCCAAGCACACATCAGTCGACATAGGATCTTGTCCATGCTCGTCCACACATTCAAGCTTTGAATTCCTCATGGCAAGGTATATGGCTGAAACTTCAGATGACAGCCCAGCTCCCTCTGTATCTGCATAACCCACAAGAAATCGCAACATTTCAGTTGAGAAATCTTTGATCGCCTGCAGTCATGTGCATGGTAGTCGATTTGCTCTCACCTGATATGCTATCCTCAACAGTAGATGAAAAGGTTGTTATATCAATGGTCGAATACCCTGTGACACTATCTTGTAGAGAAGCCTGCTCGGCAGTCCGGAATGATTTGATAAAGTCAACTACAATGACATGACACAAAACCTATTTTAAGATTGATGGCTCATAAGCACGTTAAAACAAGATCAAGCCGTCAAAAATGATCCTCATAAGATTTAGTTGTCTATGTATAACCTACCTTCATTGTGATGACCAGGAGAAAATATAGTTTCAGATGCATGTTCAGTAGCTCCAACATAGCAACCCTGCACACAATCAAACTTAATTTCTGTATTCTACCTCTACTTGAAGCTCTCGGTACAGAATATTACTGCAAGAAATCCCCTGCTAAGTGTGTGGCAGCTTAGTAGGATAGACCTCATTTATTCAAGCCCAAGAAAGAACACAGAAGTTGCATTGAAGAAGAATATTACACGAGAAAGTTGGAGTGAGAATTGCAAACCTCATTATTCACCACATCACAATCAGAAGGAACACTGGATGCTTTGTCATTGGCAAGGCCAGATCTGGTGTCCAAATCTGTTCCTCCCACAGGCTCTACAAGTTTCTTTGCAGATGTGCCTACAGAGAGTACCAAGAGGAATGGGAATACTCTTAATTGATTAGTTGGCAGAGGCAAGTAGTACAAGCACTCTAAAGTAGATACATCCACGATACTTCTACAGCATCAACAACATCGAAAAACCAAAAGGTCCCAAAAATTAACTAATGCTAACAAGCTTACCGAGATGACAAATATTAACACAGTAAGGTAAGAACAAACTTCTATGTTATCAATGAATAGCTTTTAATAGAAAAGAACTCCCGCGCCCTCACAAGAAATCTACGACTACTTGGCTTTGTGTTGTCAAGAACCCAAACATTAGGCAATAATAAGCTTGAATCATGTTCAGAAAAATCAGTAACAAGTCTAACACGGCAACATCAGAAGATCAATACCGAGTTTTCCAAGCATCATCGCCAAAATAACATAGTAGGAGAGTAGACCATACCACATTTCGGCTTTCTTGCCGAAGATGTTATTAGATCTGTAGCTTTCTTTTGACCAACATGCGTGTTCTCCAATCCTTTCCTCTGAGTTCTGGACACCCTAGTGCTTCCATTCTCTCTACAACTACTCCTCCCGGAAAGTCTCTTCTTGGTTTGCATTGTCACAGGAAAAAGAAAACTAAATCCTTCACAAGTTTCGTATTCACCAGCCAACAGTGATCAATGCTCAATATCTGCACTCAAAATCAAACTGCAAATGCATTCAATGACAGCAGAAAACAAATTAAAGCATCCAATGCATGTAATATAATATGTCGAGACTATCTCATAAAATTCTTACTACACACAGAAAGAAAAAAACAACGGCCAGCAATTTCCACTCAAGGGTTTCTTCAAATCCTACATAATAAACAAAATGTTTCGTCATTATTATTCTGTAATCAACTTCATTCCCCAAAACCTAATCTTACCTAGCAAACCAATCAAGTATTCACCAAATTACTCAACAGAATCAACTCCCTTCAAATCACAACTGAGCTACGAAGCAGAAACCAGAAAAACGAGCTCAACAACACCGAGGTAAAAGGACACCACAAGCTCGTACCAAAATGAAGCACTCCGATTCTCAAACACAGGCGAAAGCGCCAAAATGACGATCATTTATGAGATAGAAGGGGCAAGAAATGAAACAGCTATATAGTGCTACTTGCGAACAGAAAGCTGGAAGAAAAGGCGAACCCTTGTTCTTTTACCTTGCGAAAAATCAGATCGGAGTAAGTTCAAGCAGCTTGCCGAGCAAATTCCGAACCTCAAAGCATCCTCCGTCCGGCGCCCGGACTCCAAACTCGAAAACAGAGAACGGCGAACTCGCGTGCTCAGCTAAACCCTAGATTTTTGCGACTACCAGTCAGGAGAGAGAGAGAGAGAATGGGCTGTGAAATTTTTTGAACTTGAATATTTTGATTGAAGCGTTTATTTGATTCCCTTTTTTCCCTCCAAGGATTTGAGAAAGAGAGGGAAATCGAAAAATTGGATCCACCAAAAACTATTTTTGTCGAGACGGACGAGACGACGGATGGAGCAGGTGGGCGGTGCTGCCTGCTGTGCCAGTGCACTGCTTAAGGATTTATTATTAAAAATGGAAAAGGAATTATGGTGGACAAAATCACAAAATCGAAATTTTTTAAGAAATTGTAAACTAATCCATTATAGTTTTTATCCTCTATCAGTCTATCTAACTATCTTGCTTAATTAGGTAATGTTCACACCATTTTCTTAGCCATCTAATTTTTTTTTACGGGAACCTGTATGCTTTTATTAATTAAGCGAATCGATTACATTGTCTAAACGTAATTGATCCAATAACACCAATGGTGGTATGTCGAACCAAACCTGCCTTTCATCCCACCTAGCATTCACAGGGACCATAAGATGTGCTGCAGCGTTCGCTTCTCTACCAATGTGGGTCACATGAACTTCCCCCATGTTTCTGATCCCTCGTTGAATGCTACCGCAGATGATTCCCATTTCAGTAGCGTCCTCCACCGAGTTCTGTAGTCTTAGCACCAAAGTTTGGCTGTCACTTTCCAGCACAAAACGAGGAGCCTGGATCAATGTCGCTGTTTGTATTCCTAGCTCCATCGCAAGAGCCTCAGCCTGTTCAGCTTCCCACATACCTCGAACACGCTTAACCGCCGCCAAAATGAAGCCGCCCCTGCTATCTCGAGCCACCACTCCCAAACCAGCTCCCCCTCCTTCTAAAATTGCTGCATCAGTCGTGATCGAAACAACCCCCTCGGCCGGCTTCTGCCATTTCTTCCGGACTCCATTTATCTGCTCAGTTTCATCCCTTTCTTGATGTCGATTAAAATCCTCCAAGAATAGGTTCGCTCTAGCTGCAATTTCACCCTCAGGTAGCTTATGTCCATTGAAGAGTTGGGCATTCTTTCTTTCCACAAAAACCATAATAATACGCCCCAACCAGCAATATCGGCATCATCTTTCTTTGTCATCACCTCCTTCATCCAGTCCCAGCAGCCCCCCTGTTTTCGGAGTTCAAAACAGCTCACAGATTGCGAATCGAGCCAAATCCTGGAGCTCCAACTACACTCACCAAACAAGTGAACCTGGGATTCTCGTAGATTGCAAAATGGGCACATGTCCCCCCACTTCTGGCTTCAATTACTCATCTTGTCCCCCGTGGGTAGTGCTTCGCGAGCAAACCGCCAGAGAAACGTCTTCACTTTTGGCGGTATCGGCAGTCCCCACAGCCGCCTCCAAATCTCCGGGTCACCCACTGCTGTTATTCCTTCTTCCTCACAGAAACCCTGCGGCCATAATTTATACCCTTCTTTCACCGAGTACAGTCCATTTTTACTTCTAGACCATATTATCTGATCCGCTATGCCATTCCCACGAAAGGGAATCTGTTCAATGGCGCTCACAACTTTCGACGGGAAAATGCTCTCTAACTGGCTATGGTCCCAGGCTTCCTCATCATCATTTATCAACTCGCGCACTACCGAGTCCACCGGGAGGCCCATGGGCGCCGAAGTAATGAAGTGTTCGGCCAGAGCGGGCACCCATCTGTCGCCCCAAATTCTTACTCCCGTATCGTTTCCAATTCGCCAGCGAAGTCCGCTGCATAACAGGTCTTGCGCCGAGAGAATGCTTCTCCATATAAAGTTGGGTCTGTACCCCAATCTCGCATCTAACACCGAGGAGTGCTTATGGTATTTTGCTCGAAAGATTCTGGCGATTAGTGAGTCCGGTGTACGGTAGAGATTCCACAGTTGTTTTGCTAGGAGAGTTGTATTAAAACCTCCTAAATTCCGAAAACCCATACCGCCTGCCTCTTTCGGACAAATCAACTCTTCCCTCTTCACCTAGTGTGCTCGCCTTTCTTCACCCTTTTGTCCCCACCAGAAATTTGAGATTAGGCTGTGGACTTCTTCGATGATTCCTTCTGGAACCCAGACTACCGACATGGCATAAGTAAACTGTGCTTGTGCTACTGATTTAATCAACACTTCTCTTGTTGCAATGGACAACGATTTCTCCTTCCAACCCTTCAGCTTTTTCCTAACCCGCTCTCTCAGGTCAATGAAAAGGTCATTCTTCGATCTTCCGGCAAAAGTAGCTAATCCCAAATACTTCTCATGTTTCTCAACTATCCGCATACCCAGCAGGCCTCCTACCTCCAATTAATTATGTGGTTTCACATTGCCACTGAAACAGACCGCCGATTTTGGGAAACTAACCAGTTGCCCCGACTCTTTTTCGTAGGCATTTAAAATATACTTCAGCTCTCTACTTTCGTGAACTGTGGCTCTGCCAAAGAAAATGCTATCATCGGCGAAAAAAGGTGGGAAACTGCGTGAGCTCCCTGTGCCGCCTGAAAACCATGCAGTCGCCCTTCTCTTTCTGCAAGTGACGTATACGCTGACAGTCCCTCAACACACAACAGGAACAGATACGGGGATAGTGGGTCCCCTTGTCTAATTCCTCTCCCAGGGGAGAAAATCGGCGAACGATGACCATTAACCAAGACCGAGTAAGTTACTGACCTGACGCATTTCATGACTACCTCCACCCAGGCGTCAGCAAAACCCATCTTTCGCATAACCCCTTCCAGAAAGTGTCATTCAACACGATCATAGGCCTTGGCCATATCGATCTTTGCTGCAAAGAAACCCACTTTTCCTTTTGTTTTCTTCTTCATCGTGTGGAAACACTCAAACGCTGCCATAATATTATCCATAATAGCCCTACCCGGTACAAAGGCACTATGGGCTTGTGAAATCACCTTATCCAACAACACTTTCAGTCGATTCGCCAAGGCTTTTGAAACCAGCTTATAGATGACATTACACAGACTTATGGATCGATATTCCGAGGGTTTTGAGGGTGTTTTAACCTTCGGAATAACCGCTATAAGTGTGTAATTCAAACTTTGAGGGATGGCTCCTCCCTGTATGATGTCTCTAACCAACTCGAACACATCATCCCCCACAATATTCCAGTACTTGCGAAAGAATAAGGTGGAAAGGCCATCAGCACCTGGCGCTTTCCTGGACCCCATTTGCCTTAATGCCTGCCATACTTCCTCCCTCGACACCGCCTTTGTGAGGTCCTCATTGTCCGCCTCAGTAATCTTCCTGCTAATAGAGTCTAAGACTGGTGAAGTCTCCGGCCGTGGACTAGCTGTAAAAAGAGGGGAAAGGTAGTTAGTAAAACACTTGAAGATCTCCTCTTGTCCCTCGTACCACCTACCACCTTCATCTTGGATCTTTCGAATTGTATTTCTTTTGCGTCTTGCTGAAGCTTTCACGTGGAAGAAATTTGTGTTTTTATCGCCATGTTTCAGCCAATCCGCTCTCGACCTCTGCTGCCAATATTGCTCTTCGTCATCCTCCAATTCCGCAAGTTCTCTTTCCAGACTTCTCTGCTGGGCGAGTATCTCATCTGTCCTTTCTCTTCTGTCTAAAGCACGCATGGCTCGCTGAATCCTTTCCTTTTGTTTTCTAAATCTAGGAAAGGTCTGGCGGCTCCAATCTTCAAGCTTTTGGTCACACGCTGCAAATTTTCCTAACGTATCCTGTACACTTGAGTTCTTCCAAGCTTCCTCAACTATTTTAGGGCAATCCTGGTGCTTTGCCCACTGTGGTTCGAAGTGAAAAGACCATCCCCACTGCGGTTCTGAATCCTCTTCACCTCATTGCCTGCAAAAACAAGAGAGGTAACCAGGCTCCATGCTTTGGTGAGTTGTACAAGGGAGAAGATTAAATGGAAAGGAAGAGAAAATAGATCTGGGTACAGAAAATTGATTATAGAGATGGTAGTAGGCTGAAGTGGTTGAGAGATGGGTGTATAGTGGCCTTCGGTTTCCTATAAGAAGAGGCAGCAGGATGAGAATTAGGAGGGGAGGAAAATGGGCTCAAATCCAACTAAATGTGATCAGTTTTGTGGTGGATTACCAAGAGAGTGGCAATCCATTTCCAGAAATTACTCAACTCAAGACACAGAAAAACAACAACCCAGAAAGCCATTTCTAACCAACAACCATTCATCCTTTCATAAACACAAACCCAAACAACTTTCCAAAACCATTCCTACAATCAGTATAAAAAATTAATAAAACAAAGAAAGACCCACTTACCGAGCTCTGCCGCCGCGTCGATTCGCACCGCCAGACTAGATCCAGCA